ATGGCAGGGGGTTGGAACTAGATGATCTTTGAGGTCCCTTCCAACCCTAACCATTCTATGATTCTATGATTCTATGAAATATTTGTGATATGGAAGGTTCATCACACCAGCTGTTCAAACAAGATTAAAATAAAAATGAGCAACCGCTCCAAGTGACTAGCACATTATGGTTGTAAGTTCTCAACCAAAACTGGGAAATCTTAAATTTCTTCCGTGAAGTCAGCTATACTGAACATTTGTAAGAATTTGTTTTTATTTCAGATTCCAAGTTAAATAAAACCTGTATTATTTGCTATGACTAAACATGAATAACTGCCAAACATTTAGAAAACCTGAGTGACCGCAGAAAATTCCAGTCCAATAGGGCCAACAAATAAGGAAATACTAAAATATCATTAAAATTTGCCTTTATTTTTCTTACAGGAGAATTCTACACAAACCAAGGTGACTCTGTTTTACAAGACTTTTCCCAATATACTAAATTTTCAAGAGGATCATGAACAGTATAGAACAGTAAAGAACTCCTCCTGTTGAGGGATACAGCAAAGTTTCTTCAGTTGTTGTAATCTTGGAGAGCCTGAGCCATGAAAAGCTTGCCCAGGTTCTGTGCATTGAACTCCTTAATATTCTGGCAATAGGTATTAATTTGACCTGTCAATAGGAAAGAAGAGTAAACACTTGTCAGTTTTGAAATTCAGAAAGACATCCTAGAATATAATTTTTAAAAAGCCAAATGTGCATGAATCATTCAGGATTTATACAAACAAGCAACCAAATCAGCTCGAGTACTCTACATTTAGAAATTTTACATTTTCGGTATTCCCAAATAGGAAACTAAATTAGCAGAATAGGTAAACTGGTATGCTCAAAAAAACTTTAATTTTCTACAATTCTATTACGTACCATTTCTGAAAAGACATATGACAATAAAAAGAATAAACAATTCTTGCTGCTGTACTAGAAGTATAATCACATTAACTGTTCAATTTAGTTCCTCTAAAAATACTACAAGACTAAATTTCTGCTCTGTTCTTCTGCATCTGCTGTCCCTATTAAAATATTTCTAACAAATATTTTTCAGTAGCAGATTGAAAATTGTGGTAATCCTGTTTGACATTTTGCTAGCCTTTTTTTCCACCTAATATTACACTTTATTAGCTATTTCAAAAATCATCAGGGTATGAAGACTTGTCAGTGCTTTAAAAATCAAACGTGCCCATCAAAACATTTTTATACACATACTGCTACAAGTTATTTCCCTTGTTAGCTAGGAATAGCAAAACATGAAGCCAGTTTAATCAAAATTAAGACTGTTTAGAAGGCCAATAAACTCTCAATTTAATGCTCTATTTGAAAAGCTTTTAAATGCCTCAGAGACAAAAGAGCGAAGTTTTATTCTTTATCCACAAACTTTACTCCGTGTAAGTTGAAGTGGATGCTTTCAATTCTTCCCCTGACTATGGTAAAAGAACAAACAAAGAGAGTGCTTTGGCTGAAAACTGTTTTTTCCTTATAATATAAGAGTTTTCAATTCCTGCTCTTATAAGAGATGATTCATCCTAAGCTATCACCTTCATAAAACACACATGTACACACATACATGCTTCTGTTGCACTTTTAAGCTATGCTAAAGCTGAACGTTTAAATACTTTAATGCTGCTAAGATTCATTAACTGGTAAAAATTATCAAAACAATAGGGTTTTTTTAAAGACTCTGGAAGGAACAATAAATCAAGAACATGATTTCTTCTAAAAGCAGCACTTACTAGCAGTGTGAAACAGTACTAATATTAAAATAATAATCTTTTGGTCACTCCAAAATTTAAAAGCAGTAGTTCAAATTCACTTATTTTTTTAATATCAAAGCACTCTTTACTGTACACTACATTACCAGGACGTTGGTTTAATTTTCTCTCAGTACAAAACAAGGTGATAGCTAACTGATCCAAAAAGCCTGCTATAGTTAAACAATTTGCTTTCTCACATGTTCCGAATTTAGATTACTTAGCAGGGCACCTAGGTTTTCTCTCTCTGTTGCCACTGTGAGGTCCAATATATTCTTACCCTTCCATGAGGCATAGGACAGGCACTAATTTTCGTACCAAACTGCAGCTATGCACTGCAGCATACCAGTAAGCTGAAGAAATTGTGGGGGTGGGACCTATATCTGTGCTTTGTTCCTGTTTACATTTTCATTCACTTTGGGGTGCAGGAAATGGCGATAGTTTCCCTAAAACTCTGGCTGTAGAAATCAAAGAAATTATCCCAATTCTGTATGAAATTAAAAGTAAAATCTCAGGGGCTGCAACAGCTCAACACCTCGGAAGTTATCAGTAACTTAGGGCTGCAGACAACTGCTCTGAAGAAGTATTTCCAGCTCAAACAGCTCATTCCTGCCTCTTGTCCATACAGCCCCCTGACTTCTGGAGTTGAGGGAGGAGCTGGGGTACGAGTGCAGGGAGCAGCCTATTGACTGCAGCAGTCGCTACACCGACTCGTGCAGAAAGCCTGCTCCATGGGGCAGCTCTCCTTTAAAATCCCTTTTCACTCTTCTGCCTTTTCTCATCAACCCAGGAGGCACAGATGGTCAAGCAGAAGTTAGGTACCACAGCAAAATAAGAAGTAAAGGGAGAAAGTCTCCATACACGAAGTCTGAAGCTTTATGCAGCCATTCTGGTTAAATACAGTGGTTTGCTTTCAAAAAAATCACGTGTTCATATCTGCATGGTTAACGTGCCTCTGTTAATTACCTAGATGGTTTAAAATTCTCCTATGCGTGGAACTTTACTTTCTAGCAAAGGCATGGACTGCCTTCTAGCAATGAGGTAGTCCTCCTTGGTTTGGTTTTTGTTGTGTTGTTTGGTTTTTTTTTGTCTGATTTTTTTTAAATACTTCAGACATTAGGGCTGTAGATCACAGGTTGAAACCACTGCCTTTGACCAAATGAAGGACAGCATTTGGAATACTACCAATGCCAAAATATCACACCATAATGGCAAAGGTAATGAAAAATTAAGATGCTTTCTAAGGTAACAATTGCACTTTTTCCCCAAGCTAACATTCATATATGGAAAGATGAGCTGAAGAGGCTGCTAGAATGTTACCTGCAATAAGGAGTGACTCCATTCTTGGAGGCGGCTGTGGTGGTTTAAAAAGTTTGTTGATGTCTTCCTCAGGAAGAGGGGCTTCTCCTCGGCTTTGACGCTGTATATTTTCTTGCTGACGTCTCTGCTGGTACTGAAAATAAAGCAACAGAAACAGAATGCAACAGGAGTTCTGAAGTAGCAAAAAAGCTTTTTCTTTTCAGACACTCTTTACATAACCAGCAAGTATGTCTTAAAACTTATACTTAGTCAATGCAAATCAGTTTATTTCAAATAATGCAAATGCAGCTCACAGTTCAGTTCAATTCACTGATAACATGCATTTCCAACTCCAAGTTGGCACCTTAAGTGAGGTACCGGAAAATTATGCGGTACTGAGGTGGTGGGGTTAATTTTAAAATTTTTTCATAGAGATAAATACTGTATCTGATGGAAAGAATACAGTATGGTAGATGAAGGCCTCCATTTCCCCATGTAAAAAACGGAAAACAAGGTTAGAATAGGTAGATATGAGGAGCCATTACCTCAAATAGTGATACAAACCAGAAATATTGAATTTTATACAAATTAAAGAGCAAACAATATTAATATGAAAGGGAAAATGATTGAAAAAGGTATTTTAAGCCAAAAAATATTAACTCTAAACCGAGAACAAAGTGGTGGCTGAAACAAAGCATAATGGTTCATTTCTCCATTCCAGTTACTTAGACTTTCTGCCGCTTTGATGCCATTTCTTTGTGGGTTACCAGAGGATATACTAGAGTAGCAGTTTGTAGAAGTTATTCTGCTATTAAAAAAACCCAAAACCAACCAGATTTGTTTTTCAGTGCTTTCCTTTGCCATGCAGATTACTCAAAGTTGATAAAAATTAAGGTAGACCATTTCTTCAGCTATTGGATAAACATTTTTTCTTACAGAAGTACATACATTCAAAAACACATATGTGAGATTTCGTACTGTATGTCACAGTGAGGAATTAGTTGTAAGGTTCGTCCATCAAAGCCTTCATATCCAACACAAAAAAAACCTTTAAAATAAACAGGCCAAAGAGTACAGGGTGTTTTCTCTCACTTACTTAAATATATCTGTGCATAAGAGTCTGAAAACAGTTCATACTTGGTGGCATACTCAAATGAAGTAAATTTTTTTCCAGTAGTAGTGACAAATACATGTTTTTGGACAATGTTAAAAATAAAATCTTAAATGCCCATATTTGTATGTGAACTGCATGTAGTTTCTTCTTTCTTTGCATTACCCCATTCAGATCTCAGCAGTCTGCCTATTATTCTCTATTGAAACGGCTTGCTCTTAATCACAACTGCTCTGCTTTAGAAATGAAGTTAAGACCACTAACTATGCTGCAATGAGCCACTACTAAAGCAGCTATAGTTAGTAAAGAGATGAAGTGAGACACCATGGAACCCACTTTGCTCTGCTTTTCAAAATAAATAGATCCTCTTGTTATTAACAAAAGCCTTTGAAGTGGATGCCATCTTTCTATTCAAATTAGGCGGAAAAGGAAAATAAATTTTCTGAAGATAACATGCATGAAGCTGCTATGTCCTCGGGAATTACAAAGCCAGGAGAGACCACTGATCATCTGGTGCTTCCCTAAAGTACTCCCTGTTCAAGCTACATTTTACTTAAGTGAAAAAAGCTAATTTTTGATTTTAAAATAGTCAGTGATGAAGCATTTCACATGAACCACAGGTGCTCTTTTTAATAATTAGCTACTTTGTGTGGCAATACCTGCAATATTTTATCTTTAAAGTGGCCTGGCCCATTTTCAGTTGGCCAATATTGAATCTTGTCATATATCTGTCTGCTAGATTAAAGAGTTCGAATTTATTTTTCATGCAGGTACTTCTTGAGTAAGCAAGTCACTCGTTAACTTAATTTATCACGTGAAGTGAATTGTGTTCACCAAGATCTGCTTTCCAGGTTTTTGTATCATTCTCATAGCTCTTTTTTTTGCAATTTACCAGCATTCTTCTATAGTAAGACACAGTATTGCTTTATTAAATGCAGCAACAGTAAATAAAGTAATACATCTCCAAATCACACAAAGGTGAGGTTGGAAAGGACCTCTGGAGGTCACCTTGAACAACTCCCCTGCTCAAGCAGGGCCACCCAGAGCCGGTCTCCATACTCAGTATTTTCTAATCAAACTATTTTGGATTTAAAGAGGCTCTTTGGCATCAGGAATTAAAAGTCAGCATCACCTGATGAATATTACAATCTACTGATAGAAAACATGAATAAAATGTCATTTCCAATCAGAGAACAGTCTCCTGTCCTTTAAATATGGACTATGTTTCTTTATTTCTAGATGCATGACTACATGTGATGGTATTAAAGCATAGTTTGTTTTGGAACAATTTACTTGTAGTTTCAGCTCTTTCATTTCATTCACGAAACCTCTAATCCCTGTGTCCACAGTATATTTACCAACAATTTTAGTTTATCATAAATCACTAACAAACCTGTAAAACAGCAAATACCAATCCACACTACACGTCGGCAGAAGTGAATCCATTTGATAATTCCCCACTGACTAGCACATTTTATAAATCTACTTAATGGATATCTTTCTGTAAGAGTTTTATCTTGCTTAGATGCAAATTCATCTGTCTTAGAGCACACCACCTAAACTGTATTTTATGGAAAAAAATCCTCGCATTCAGGTTTTCCATGTTACCAACCTGGTGTTTCTGCTGCTGCTGTTTGCTTACATTCCTCAGGTAAGTATTGTATTTAACAATGTCTTGGCTCATCTCATCCACTCTGTCCATGAGCAGCTGCAGACTCTTCCCTAGGTGATTACTGAAATATAAGAAATATTCATGAAAGATTGAATTAAAAAAAAAAAAGCGTTAAAATTTAAAAATCATTTCAAGTCACTTGACCAGCATTTCTGCATTAATGGCATGGTTCACGAATTCTTAAGTTCCTAGTTATCTTTGTTCATTTAAATATTTGACAATACTTTACATAGCATCTCCTCTAGCTAACATCTTCACCATATTGCAAGTATCATATTTAAGTGTTTTGGTCTTTGCAGGGAACCTCGTAGTTATGAAAAAACAATATCTGGCATGAATTTACTGATATTACAGATGCAGGTCAAACATTTGAAAGAAAATGTCCAATGCTTTTGTGACATGCAACCTCAAACAGCATTCCAGGAGATGTGTTCAAAGAGTTTGGTTTCACGTTGCTGCTAGCTTTTTCACAAATATGTAACTGTCCCTCTAGAGGATCGTTAAATATTCTTCAGAACTCCATGTCATTAACTAGTCTATCAAACCACACCTGGAAGTTCAGCAGACATCGCTTGATCTTAGCTGTTGAGAGGGAGTGTTGCGTCCAGTCCAGCCAGCTCCACATTCCATACCACAGGCAACATGGAAGCGGCTAGGCTGGGCGCGTCCAGTTCCAGTTATGCGATCTACTGCCTTGGCCAGACAAATGCAGTCTGTTAAACAACTTTTATTGTAACCATTTTTAGCAATGGATTCAGTATTTTGCAGACTTAAGGTATAGCTTCCAAGTTAAAGTTTTGGAAGTTTTTAGGTTGCTGCCCATGGAGACAGCATTCACCCTGAACTGTGTTTACTGGGTAGTGCAGTAAAAGAAGGATACTTGCTGCTCTCTGTTGATCCCTGCGATCAGAAGCTAGCTTGTTGGCTCTGATCTAAGCCTTACCCAGTCCTACTTGGCTGAAGCCCAACGACTCAAAAAGCTGAACTTCATCCTTCTCCTCCTCAACTGAAATCAACTACAATTCACGAGACTCTCTTTCAAATCAAAAATTTGGTGCACTTCTACATTAGAATCACATCCTTCAGTCACTGCTTCTCCACGTTATCTGAGATTCCTCTGCCTTTTACAATGCATTCCCACCATCCTACAGCCTGCGGACTGGGGAAACTCTAACTGGAAGAGACAGGCATAAAGTCAAAAGGGAACCACATACGTAATACTGTGCACATCCCTTATTAAGTGTAAATTATTCCCCAAATCCATAGAACTCATAGCTGGAGACCAAAGCTGGTAACGTAGCACCAGAGACACCAGAGGATACCTGCTGGGAACGTAGCTAAAGACATCCTTATCTCCGAGTACCAGGACAGCTATTTCACTAGCTGAGCTGCCTGAACAAAAGGCTGTATCAGTAACTTCAGACCACCGTGTATCTACCAGCCAGAGATCTAAATCGCAGTTGTGTACAGGGGCAAATGGTGAAGAGGACTTCAGCTACACAGCAGCAAGAAAGGCGCCACTATAATAATTATTTTTAAACTTCTTGGGGTTTTTTTTGGTTGACCATTTCAAGCACATGATATTTAGAACGGCGGAATATTGCCATGGCTAGGGGTGTGCATATTTTCAGGGTTTTATAGAGTTTATATTATAGAGAGTTGGTGTTAGAACTGGATATTATCAGAAATGCCTGTGTAGGTACACACTAATAGCTTTGTAGAGTATGTGGACATCAGGAGTACATAATTATTTTACAGATAGTGTCCATATGAAATATAGCTGGTTACAAAGAATGATTTTATGTGAATCTCTTTGGGACCAGCTTAGCACAGCAGAATACAGAAACAGAGAGTTATTGTTAGAAGTTACAAGAATGTTTGCTCTCATTGCCAGGGAAACAAAAAGCTAAAACCAGATAACTTAAACAGATGTGAACCGAGACATGAAGTGATAAGTATGCTGCAAACACAGGACCAGCTTTTTCCTCAGTTCTCATGTGTCCATCTTTTAAAAAAAGAGAAAGACCAATAGAAAGTAATTTGTAAAAATGTATATATACAATGTTTAAGCAAGTTCTGTTCAGCTGAAGTTTATTCTGGTGAGATTTAGGAAGTTAAATCACAGTGCTCCAGCCCACAAGACTCATCACACGCTTACTTAGCCCAAAGGCTCTTTTAGGCACCTCCTTAACCTTGTG